GGGCTCTGTGCTGACAGCTCGGAGCCTGGAGCTGCTTCGGATTCTGTGTCTCCCTCTCTCTCTGACCCTCCCCTGTTCATGTTCTGTCTCTCTCTGTCTCAAAAATAAATAAACATTAAAAAAAAAGAAAGAAAATGGTTCTTGAAGGAGCTAAAGACCTAAAGATGTTGTTCGAATCCTAGCACAAATCGCCGTGACTACAGAGCAGCGGCCGAGGTGGGCTTCCTCCACACGTGGGCCACCGTTATCACAGACCCACCAGCCAAGGCCCAGAGTCCCCTGGAAACCCGAGGGGACTCCCAGACCACGTCCCCCGGCAGCAGGGACGAGGGAGCCCGACTGACAGGTACGTGGACGTGGTTGTCAACTTCCTGGGCAGCGATCTAGGTGCAGAAGCAGAGAAGGGGGGGGTTGAGCAGATTTTCACTTGGAATGCATGCAAACTCTGTCGTCCACAGGTCCCAGGTGTCCCGAACAGAAACAACCAATCCAAAGCGAAGTTTGACACATCTTTTTATGTACAAACGGCCAATGGTACATAGTTACTTTTCATAAATATCTCCAGCAAATCCCCTAAAAAAAGATGTGAATAAAAACTACCTCTATGCACAAAGGGCCTCGTCCTCCCCCAAAGCGTTAACTTCCCGAGACAGGGAGCTTTGGGGACCAGGTGACGGCCTTCCCACCGCCCAGCCAGCCAGGGTAACTTGAAGGTCATCTGCCGCCCAGGACCTGGGGGAGACTGAACGGTTCCGCGTCAGGCTGGGCTGGGGCGTCCTCCCTGCTTCCCGGCAGAGGCCCCAGGGACGGCGGAAGGGAACCCAAGATACAGTGAGAAAGTAAAAAAAAAAAAAAAAAAAAAAAACTCTGGGTATTTTGAGCACACACACTTGGTAACCAGTGTAACCCCGTGAAGCCAATGTATCAAATTCGCCCAAGGGAAAAGGGATCTCACATTCCAGAATCCACAGGCAAGCCTTTTATTTGCAGGGAGATAATCACGTAGCACCGAGCGCGCTCCCTTCTCCTCGGAGCCCCTGCGCGCGGGGGGCGCATCAGCGACACAGCGGCCAGGGCGCGCTCACACCAGAACGCACGCGACTCCCGTGGGGCCGCCCCACAGTGTCCTCCCGGGCCTGCGCCCTGGCCACCCAGCCCCCACGGGCTTCATTCAAAGCGACGCAGGTGGTTGTACAGAGACTGGACGTAGGTGAAGACACACATGGGGTCCGGCTTGCGGCCCATCACCATCATATCCTCCACCTCGATGAGGCGCTCACAGTTGGCCAGATTCCTGAAACACAGAAGCTGGGTCAGGACCAGGGTCCCAGCCACCGGCCAGCCCCGCCACCCTGGGGAGAGAGGAGGGGTGTCCCCACAGGGCCTTCCATGACCCCGGGAGAGCCCAGGAGACCCCCCCCCAAGAGATGCCTGAAGACCCCAGCAGACCCTGGGAGACCCTCGCAGACCCTGAGAGTCCCCAGCAGGGCCCTGGAGACACCCAGAGACCCCAGCAGACCCCGAGAAACCTCTTGAGACCCTGGAGTCGCCTACTCGGAGGCGGGTTGCCCAGACCCCCGCGTCCAGGAACCACTGCGACAACTCACGTTTTGACTTAAGTAGACTTCCTTTATTGCAAGTTTCAGTGAAATTTAATTTCACTTTGAACTTTTCACTAAATCCACTTAAAAAGTAAATGCGAGTCAAAACTTTGTTAGTCAAATTTCAGTTTAATTTAAAAACTAAATTTCACTAAAAACTTCGACGTACGTCAGCAGCCTGTGGGAAAGCAGCACGAGCTAGAAAAATAAATGTAAAATGAAGTAAAACATAAAAGTCACCCACACGGCTTCTCAAACCGTCTTTTATTTTTTTTTTTCAACATTTATTTATTTTTTTGGGACAGAGAGAGACAGAGCATGAACAGGGGAGGGGCAGAGAGAGAGGGAGACACAGAATCGGAAACAGGCTCCAGGCTCCGAGCCATCAGCCCAGAGCCCGACGCGGGGCTCGAACTCACGGAGCGCGAGATCGTGACCTGGCTGAAGCCGGACGCTTAACCGACTGCGCCACCCAGGCGCCCCTCAAACCGTCTTTTAAAACTTTTCCAAGACGCACCCTTGGTGATTTCTCACCCCAGGTCAGCACGTGCACGCGGAAAACGCTCACAAACGTCTCACCACCGAGATTTCCTCCGTGGCGTTTCGTGTCTCCTGCCCCACACTTGTTCCTGAACGCTGGTCACGAAACACTCACCTGCTGTCACTACCTGCTGACGGGTCACAAGCTTAGAAACCTGCCTACCTCCACTTACGACCCCTGGGCCTGTGCCTCGCGCTCTGGGAAACATGCGTGCAGACACTGCCCTGGAAAGAAAGCGGCTCCCCCGCTGCCCCAACTCCCACGACCCACGAGGCGGCACCCACGGCGGCAGGGGTCAGCGCCACACCCTGAAATAACAGCGGGTGTCCTTCCGGAGGCTGAGGCGGGCTTCCCCAGGGCGCAGAGCGGCGGGCCTGGGGGACCCAGCCCGGAACAAACTCCCACACCTGCTCCGGTCCGTGACCACCCCTGCTCAGCAGCGAGCACGGGGCACTCCCCTGCTTCCAGGGACCCCCGCCTCCCCCGTCAACAAATGCATGACTGTCGGGGTTCACGGCCGGCCCCGTCCTCCCTGACTCTGGCAAGAAAGACGCCTGGCTTCTCCCGGGCTCCCGGTCCCCCACGTGGAATCATCGCCCCTGCACGGGGCGGGGTGGGAGCGCAGGTCGCACGGCTTCTGTGCCTGGAAAGAGCTCAGTACACGTCCCCGGGGGTTGCCATTTTCGTCAGAATTTGGGACCTAAACAGCGGAGTTCAGTCCTGGGTCTGCTAGCCGTGTCCTCAGCAGAGATCAGACCCCCACCTCCAAGGTTGTGGCCTGTACCCCAGAGCCTGCCGACCAGATCTCGCGGGTGGATCTTGCGCTGGCCATGTGCCAGACGTCCTATCACTAACCAAATGTCAGAGCAAATGGGGACGTCTGTCCCAGGTCCCACTGCCCTCTCCCCCTCGGTTTGGAGCCGGTGGCCAATGGCAGAATCCAGCAGCTTTGTGAGGTGACAGGGGCCTGGCATCCCAGATGGGCCCGGGCCAGGCTCGGGGTCAGGGAAGTGCGAGCTCTGACAAGGGCAGGCATGGGAAGGTGCTTTGTTAATGGCGAAGAGCTGCAAATCCAAGTTCTCCGGCCTGAGTTCACCTTCTGAGCCGTCAGCACCTGCTGCGCTCTGCTCCTGCCTTCCTCCCAGGGCCGCCTGCACACCCGCCAGGTGCGTGTGAGCGTGCCCTGCAGGGGCCCTGAACGTGCACCAGGTGTGTGTGTGAGTGAGCCCTTCCTACACACCAGGTGTGTGTGTGGGCGGGGCCACGTACGGGTCAGGTGCCTGGGGGCGGGGCCCGAATTTGCACCAGGTGCGTGTGGGCGGGCCATGCATGTGCACCAGACCATCACTCCCCGACGCTGGCCACAGTGGTCCCCAAGTTAGAGGAGGGCCGTACTAAAGCCCTGACCTCGGCCTCGGAAGAGAACCGAACGCACCCTGCAGACACGGGGGAGTCCGGCCTGGCCTTGCTCTTCTCCAGGCTCAGGCCACGGGCCCCAGCGCCCCGCGGTCAAATCCCTCTGCAGGTGGCTCTTGGCCAGGAAGAGTTTCCCTCCTGTTCCCTATGCTCACTTGCCGCTGGGTACTTTCTACGGATGACCCCACAAGTCTGTTCTCTGCCTAATTTCTTCCCCACCAAAGCCTTTCACGCGTCGGAAGAGAATCTTCCTATCACGTCTTTCCCCGACACCGCATCTCTCTGGTTCCCTCCCTGGGCCTCCAAAGGGCACCTGGGACCCTCTCCTGTGCCCTGCTTCTGGTTTCTTCTTCCCGCCCACAATGGCTAGGATGTTCCAACCCGCGCAGGGAGGGTCCACTGACCCCCTTCTGCACCAGCTCCCACCCACGGCATCCCTGCCTGGGCAGCGAGGCTTCGCCCTCAGGGCCGCGGTCAGGGTGGGCACTAAGGCCTTACCCTGCCGTCACCCCTACAACCCAGGCGAGAGGTCGCGGGCAAGGCTCCGGCTTCCCGGTCCCCACCCCAGCGGCTACAACGGTAACCTCACGAGTCCTAAAAGCTGCACACGCGGGTTGAATGAAACTTCAGAATCAGGGTACGAGAAAAGGAAAATGGTCAGTATTGACTTTTATAAAAATACCCAAGTCTCAAAATATTAGAGGCCCCAACTGCCCTTTTTTTTTTATTTTTTTTTTTAATTTTTTTTTTTCAACGTTTATTTATTTTTGGGACAGAGAGAGACAGAGCATGAACGGGCGAGGGGCAGAGAGAGAGGGAGACACAGCATCGGAAACAGGCTCCAGGCTCTGAGCCATCAGCCCAGAGCCCGACGCGGGGCTCGAACTCACGGACCGCGAGATCGTGACCTGGCTGAAGTCGGACGCCCAACCGACTGCGCCACCCAGGCGCCCCAACAACTGCCCTTTTTAAAGAGTTGAGGTACGGTGAAGGCAGAACACTATTGGGCACACACCCCATTGCCTTTCAAATTAAAAGGAAGCAAGTGCGTCTGTAACAGCGACGGGAGCGTAACTCCCGCGCCGCGAGAAAGCCCAAAGGGAAACGCACAAGGCACTTCAATGGCACCGAGGAGCAAGAACCGGGGTGACACCGGCGTGCCATCGTTTCTGAGTGAACGTACTGAGCCCCACCTCGCCTGGGGCTTAAAAGCGAGGTTCCGAGGACTCTCCTGCCCCGGCTCTGTCACGATCTGCGGTCGGCACGGGGCTGGCCTGTGAGGGCGAGGGAGGAGGGGCTCAAGGGGCTATTTTTATTTGTTTAAGCCTTCGCTAAACGCAGATGCCAGGCTCGGACTACAGCCTCCAGTCTGGTTTTAGACAGAGACACATGGACACTACAAATAGCCCGAAGCCCCTTCTGCTTGGGCGTAACCCGAGAGCAGGACACATTCCCTGCAGGGCAAGCGGGAGCCTCAGGCCACACGTCCGGCTCTGGGCGGGCGCTCGGCCTGGAGATGTGGGGCGCAGGGCGCAGAGGGCAGGGCCCCCGCGCACCGCCGCACCCCTTCCATAAAAGGACCGGTCTTCCCGCTCTCCAAGCCCAGGACACCTGTCCAACAAGGGCTCGTACTTTGCTGTCAACACCGCATTGCTCGCACAGATTAGGCCGCGGGGAATCTTCGGGGCCGGGAGTTCCCGGGAGGGGGGGTAGCACACGGCTCACGCCACCCAGTTCCCGGTGCGTCTTTGTGGTTTTAAGGCCCTCGCTCGCAGAAGGGTCTGCAAACGTTTCCTTCCTGATGTGTGTGGGGGGGGGGGGGTGAACCCCCGGTTTGAGGGGCCTGTCTGTCCTCTGTTCCTGTGCAAAGGCTGTGACCCCATGGAGCCCAGACCCCTGTCACCCCGCACAGCCTGCTCCTGCCGCCTGTGGGCCCATGAGTCTGCCGGACCTTCGCTGGCAAACCTGGGGAGTGTCTGCTAAGAAACTGGTAGACAGAACCGTCCAGCAGGGGTCCTGTGCTTTCCTTCCAGCCTGTTGTCCCGGGAGCGAGCCAGGTGACCCAAGCTGCTGTCTTCTTAGGAGGCCACCTTCCTACCCCGCCCCCCCATATCTGCGAGGTCACCTCTCCCAGGGACTCCCAGGGGAGGTCCCTTCCCAGGCCCCAAACAAGCTCCCCACACAGGCCTGCCCTGGGCCCCTAGCCGGCAGACCACCCTCCCCTCCCCAGCCATACTCAGGCCACAAAGAGGCAGGGCCAGGCTTCAGGCAGGGCAGACCCCCACCCCCACCCCACCGTTTGCTCTGGGGAGGAGGGAGGCAAAATGTGGAGCGGCCTGCACACACCCTGACCCTCCAGGCTGGGAACAGAAGGAACGTGCTCTGTGCTCCGAGACTGGAGGTGCCCACGTCTGGGAAAGCACAGCCACAGAGCAATCTGGCTCTGGCTGTCGGGGCGGGGCTGTGCTCCCCACCATCTGGGAGGCAGGGCCACCACCCTGAGGCCCAGGGCCCCCTCTCCCGGCCCAGCCTGGTCTGTGGAAGAAAACACCAGGGGCCCGAGTGGGGCCTCGCCGGCCCAGTTTCCGGGGTGGGTCCTGGGGTGCGGCGCCCACACCAGAGCCCCCGCCCTGCACACTCAGTCTGCTCTGACAGCCACCGTCTCTAGGCCCGAGCAGCCGGGCCTCCCCCTGCGAGGCGTCCCTCCCCGACATTGTGCTGTCCCCCTTGGCTCTGGTTCACCGCCGTCTGGGTCCAGTTGCATAACACACTCCAACCAGAGCTGTTTCTGCGATTAGGAAGACAGCTAGCTCGAGCAGCCAAGAAAGAGAAGGAGTTCTGTGACCCCGCGGGGGCCGAGAGTCCCGGCATGTCACCTGAGACCACTGCACGGGGGCAACGGCGACATTCCCACAACTCAGGCCGGCTCCCCTCTGCCCCCAGGACTGACCCGTAGGCTCCGACCCCTTCCCCGGCCAGGGCTGGGGTCCAGGAACGGAGTGCGGAGGGCACAGAGGTCTGGAGCGAGGCCTCCCCCTGGTCAGGGCAGGCCCTGGTCAGGGCAGCGGGGATGCAGACCTGGTGGGCAGGCGCTGCTCACGGGCTTACGTCCAGGCACAGAGGCTGCGGCAGGAGACAAACATTCCCTCCAGGAGACCGCGCCTTCCCTCTCACCTTCCTCCCCCCCACCCCCCCCCACCCCCAGCATCCCCTGAGCATCCCCTGAGCCCCGCCCCCAGGCTCCCCTGAGCCTCTGCTTCTGGACTGTGACCAACCGACAGGAGGCCCTCTGCCCCAGCTCCCTGCCAGCCGCCGTGAGCTGGTCCAGCCGCTGCCCACACGCACAGCCCGTGAGCCAGCCCTCCCCACACAGCTGCTCTCCGGGCCCCACAACGTCAGGCCGACCAGCCCCAGGGGACAGCCTGCAACCCCCCACCTCCCGACCCCAGCTAGAACCGCGATGCCCCAGGGGCTGCCCTGAGCCACCAGCCAAATCCCAGACTGGCTTCCCGAGTGCCAAGGGAATCCCAGAATCTCTCCCCACCCAATCGCCTCCCGGAGCCAGTCTTAGGAACACAGACGATTTCGTAGCAAACGCTAGGACAACATTTAAGGAAGCAAAATCTACTTATCGAAGAATTTTTAAAAGTGTTTCCGAGGCAGACATTATTCAACGTCCTGCTTGCCCAAGCAACAGTGTCTCCCCACCAACCCTCAGAGGACAGGCTGGGTGCCCTGGGAGAGCCCGCCCCGCAGTCCCTCACGCCCGGCCCGTGGCTGGCCTCCCAGACCACACAGCAGAGGCCAGGCGCCCAGCGAGAGGGGCAGGTGCACCGAGTGTGGGCGACCCCTCAGGCCTCAGTCTCCCCATCCGTACAGGAGGCCGTGGGATGGCCTCAGGACCCTTGCAGACGACTCCCCCGGGCAGGAGCGGGGCTCAGCACCCGCCATACTCACTCGGCCATGGTGAAGGCCAGCTCAAAGTTCTTCTGCCTCTGCGCGGGACTCAGGGCGCCGTAGTCGAAGGCGTCGGGAAAGAATGAGTGCACCAGGGCGCAGAAGGCCATGCCGTCGCTCCAGCTGGACGAGAAGTTCTGCAGGTCTACGTGCTTCCGGAGGGCCGGGGGCAACACAGGGGCGTGAGCGGGGGTTCCGTCCCACCTCCGCGCCCCCCACCCAATTTAACCCATCAAGCAGATGCTCCCAGCCTCTCCCAGAGCAGACCAGGGGCCCCTGGGCTGGGGCGGGCCTAGGCCCACCTGGTAGCCAAGGGGTCCCCCACCCCCACCCCCAGGCCAGGGCGGGGTCTGGACCCACCTGGTAGCCAAGGGTCTTCTGCCGGCACCACTCCAGCAGGAGCTGCTTGATGCTGCTCGCACTGGCCACACCGAAGCTCTGCGACCGTTTCAGCTTGGCCCGCACCTCGCCCTTCCCCCTGTGCAAAGAGCGCCTGCCTGCTGTGGGGCCGCGGGTCCCCACCGCTCGCACACCACCTGCTCTGCTCACCCTGGGGAGACGCCCCGCTGGCAGGACCACCCTCCCTCCGGCCGCCAGCCCGCATCCATTTCCCACACTGGGAATCGGGGGTCACCTGGCAATCCTGGGACAGGGGACCGCAGCCCATGTGGCCTCAGGCCCCTGCCCTCTGCTCCCTTCCCTTCGTCCCAGCTGCCCAGACGTAACCCTCACTGACAGCTCCCTTCCTAGCCTCCTAGCCCCGGGAGGGTGGTCCCCCTGGTGGCCCCAAGGACACAGCCCAGATCTGGCTCAGCGGGGAAACTGCCCTGGTCGGTCTCCCTCACTGGTCACAGGAAGCTGGGGCTAGGGGCATCCTCACCACACAGGCTGGGACCCCACCCTGCACCCAGCAGGTGTCATGCTGACGACTGGATCCCTGTTCAAAGACCAGCCCTGTCCCTAAGGGGGGCAGAGGGTCACCCCACAGCACCCCCCCCCCCCACCCTGGGAATCCTAACCCACTATCCCTTGTGGTCTCCCCGTCCTGCCAGGCGAGGCGGGGAGGGCGGCCTGGGGCACCTCTGGAACAGGGCAGGCGAGGGGCTCTCATCATGGGCCCTGCCCTTGCGCCCGGCCCCCGGGGAAGAGGACTGGGCCGGCTTTCCTGCGCGGCCTGGCTCCCACGTGGGTCTGGGCGCCAGCGTGCGTACTTGCCCGCGGTGTCGCGCTCCCACTTCTCAAACAAGGCCTTCCGGGCCTGCGCCCCAGACGTGCGGGGCAGCGTCTGCGACCTGACCAGCTCCCGGCGCCGGGCCTGGGCGGTGGCTGGTGGAGACCGAGGCGTCACCAGGGGTGGGCTGAGGAGAGAGAGAACCACCGAGTCAGGAATATCCCAGCCCACTCGGGCCCAGGGCCCCCCTCCCCCCAGTGACCGAGGCAGGAACAAAGGAGGCACAACCTGTTGGGCAGGTTCTGACTGAGAGGTCTGGCCCGCTGCAGGGGGCACCCAATGCCTGGCATAATCACCCCTCAGCAGCTGTCAATTCCTGGGGCAGAAGGTGGACCCCGAACCAGCCCCACCAGGCCCCTCTTTGTTTCCTCCTGAACGGTTGACCAGAAAGTCACCATTCTCCTTTATTATTAAAAGAAAAGCCAAGCGAGCCCCCCCAGCCCCAGCCAGCTGGCCTGGGGGAATATGGGGACAGCTGCAGGCTGGGGGAGGGGGTCTGTACCATGAGGGGGGCAGGGCCTCTCTGGGCACCCGCAGGGAGAGGCCCTCCCACCCTCCTTCCTCTGTGGGGACGGAGACACCCCCTCCCACCTCCACACAGACCCGCTCTGCGGGGTCCACGGAGAAGCCAGCCTCGGCCACATTTCTCCAAACGAGGCTGTCCAGCGAGCCCCCGCGGCCCGGCCTCCCCTGCAACCCGCTGCCCGGCTCTCCAAGGTCCGGGTCAGCACAGGGAGCCCAAGTCCCAGGACGGCACAGCCCACCCGGCCGCCTCACCCTGACGCACCTGTCGCTCCTGCCGGCCGATGCTGCCCCATAGCCAGAGCTCAACCTCGGGGTGGAAGGACTCTTCTCTGCAGGACAAGGAGAGGAACAGAAGTAGCCACGGCCTTGGGGAGGGCCAGCCACCGGCGCCCTTCCCTGACCCAACACCGCTCCCTGGATGGGCAGCCCCCCCCCCCACTAGGCTGGCCCCCCATGGCCAACAGTTGAGGGAGAGGGGCTAGGAGCTCAGAGCTCGGACATAAAAGGTGTTGTAGGCCTTCCCGGCTGCTTTGGGGAGCACAGGTCCCAGGGTGCAGCACGCTTTGTCGCCAGACCCTCATTTTGGAAGCCCCACCCCAGCACACACCACAGGCCCTGACCACAGGCCCACAGCAGGCTGGTGGAGCCCTGCCAAGTGCGCAGGGTGCCAGCCACGTCCTCACCACAGCCTGACCCGGAATGAAAGCCACGGTCTACCCGAGGGAAGCCGCCAGTTCACGGCAACTCTGGAAGGAGTCAGGCAGGGAAGGGCGCATCACAGGGACCGGGCACAGGGTGGGCAGCTCCGTCCCAGGTTTTCCGAGTCTCTCGCCAGCCCCCCACCCCTGTGGGGTCTGCACCCAGGCTATGCTCTCCCACTCCTACCGCTGGGACCTGGAGTCCGGGGTGCGGTGGCCTCACTGGGGCTCGGGCTGGGGCCCCCCAGGATGGCAGCAGACGTGGGCGAGAGAGCCGCGGCCGAGGTCTCCCCTGAAAACCTCTCCGAGACCCGAGTGACGGCCGTGACCGGCTGGTGAGGCAGCTGCAGGGAGAGGCTCACGGGGCGAGGCCTGGGGGGCTCTGGTGCTGATAAGGTTCCAGCGGCTTCTGGGGACCCATCGCCCAGACCTGAAACACGAGGCCAGTGGGGAAGGTGGGGGGAGTCAGCCAAGGCATCTGCAGGGGCCTCGGGCCGCCCCCCGCCGCCCAGTAGGACTCCAGCTTCTGTGAACCCTCCTCCCACCTCTTCCAGGAAGGCCTCCCTGACCTCCCTCTTCTGGGGACGCCTCAGTGCAACCGGAGTTTATGTCTGTTCCACACTGCTGTCACCATCAGTTCAGTAAATACTACCTAGCCTGTCGGCCACGCCGTGCTGTCCGCTGCGTGGACATCTCCTCGGGGCCCACTTGCTTCCTCCGGAAACAGAGAAGTCCATCCCCTCGAGACCTCCCATTTGCCTCTGCGTTGACAGAGTTCTACTTCACCCCGAGTGAAGCCGCCCTCCGGGCAGCCTGTCGGCCTGCTGGGGTTCAGGGCCACGGCCCCTCCCGGCCGCGGGACGGCCCCCCTTGCCGTCGGCCCCTACCTGTCCCAGGCTGGTGACCGTTCTCAACGATGCACGAGTCTGAGGCCTTTCTTGTGTCCACCTCGCTGGCTTCGTCCTGGTGATCCACGCTCTACAGAGACACACGCACCAGGGTGGCCCAGTCAGGCAGGGCTGGCTGCCCCCTCCCGAGATTGCTGTCTGAGGCCCCCCCCCCCCAGTTCTGGGGACAAGTAACACTGCCGTGTGAGACAGCCCCTGGGAGATACGGTACTGGGCACAGGCCACACAGCGAGCTGGCGTGGACCCAGCCCCGGCTGCTGAGCCCCCACGATCCTGCCAGGCAAACGACTCTCCCGGGCTCACCCCAGACTCCAAAAGCATTAGAGACAAAGATCAGAATGGGGGTCCTGGCAGGGCGCAAAGTGGCCCACCCTTCCCCTGCCTGGACCATATGCCCCGGCAAGAGCCTGGCCCTTCTCACCCCCGCGTGGCCAGCCGACACGGATGCCCGTGTAGGGGCGCTGAAACCAGAACCCTAAGGTTCTCTGGGCCAACAGCAGGCACTGGGGCCTTCGCGCTGAGGACCTTCCATGGGACGCGGTCACAAGATTTTGCCTGGATGCCCGGGATACGAGGGTCTGACAGGCTCCGGGGCCCTCCAGCCCCCCCCCCCCGAACCTCAGTGGAGCCAATACCAGAGCCCCTGGGGGAGCCGGGGGGTCAGGTCACGCCGCTGCTGGGTCTCAGTGTCCCCGTCTGAGATAAGGGAGGTACACTGCAGAGCATCAGGCCCTTTTCTGGCCACACCAGTTACGCCAATGTGCTTCCGTCCTCTCAGGTGCGTGCTAACACCCCCACGCGGCAGGGAAAGCCCAAGGCTCCGAGAAGAGGTGTCCTGTCCACAGTGACACGTGAGAATCACCTGTGATCTGTGGCCAGGAGGGACGTCCTCCTGCACTGAGCTCCTGCCTCTCCCAAAGCGAGGGAGGTGGGGAGGGCCCGGCGTGTCCACAGGGCTGACGGGGTCTGCCTGGCGGGAAGGGGATCGGGGCAGACCCCCAGTACTAAGGGCCACTTGGAGGCTGGCTACACCTCTCCCGAGACACCTCCAGGCTGGCTCTTGCCTGCAAGGTTCCGAGATGACTAAAGACCACCCCTGGCCCCAGATGGCTCAGCGGCCCCTCAGCCAGTGCTAGGGGTGGCCACTGCGCCATGGGGGGATCGCTCTGGCGGGGGAGCCAGGACCTCGAGCAGAGCCCGAGAGTGCGTCCAGCCCAGCAGGTCAGGGAGGGCCCCCCAGAGGCAGCAGTGCCCAAGCCGGGTGTAGGGTACGCCAGGTGGATGAGGAGGGGACAACTAGCGTCTGCACAGACAGACGACTTGGAGTTGTGATGCGTTCTGATGGGCGACTGCAGGGATAAGTGACCTGAGGGGGAAGGAAGGGGCGTTGGTGGAAAAGCAGGGACTTCAGTTCGGGCCACATGGAGTGTAAGGTGCCCCTGGGAAATCCAGGAGGTGAGGTCAGGACACAGCTGTGTGTTTGGGTCTACAGTTTAAGAGACAGGACAGAAGGATGGAGGGAACAATGAGGGACAAGCAGGAGTCCTGTGTCCCCGACACACGCCCAGAGCAAGAAGTGGCCAGGGGTGAGGGGGGCCTGGGGGGAGAAGAGGGGTCTACAGAGGGGCAGCCAGAGGTGCAGGGAGAAAACCCGGAGAAGGCCGGGTGAGGCAGGTAGACACATTCAGGAAGGACACAGGCGTGTGCCTGGGGCGCCCAAAGGCGGCCTCCGGTCAAGGAAATGGTCGAGATGAGATCTGAACGGCGCTCACTGGGTTTAGCAAAGAAGAGGCCGGCAGGTGATTTAGGGACTGAATGAGGTAGGGGTGGGGTGGGAGAGGGCGGAGGGGGAGAAGCTGGGAGGACAGGGGAGGAGTTGGAAGGGGCTGTCCCTCTGTGGGGTGTGGGTCCCTGCAGAAGGAGGAAAGGACAGGACTCAGAGCCCTGGGCGGGGGGGCGGGGGGGGCCCGGGGAGCAGAGGGGACCCCTCAAGTCCTGACTCAGGAGGACAGAGAGGGAGGGGCCAGGCTGTGGAGAAGGGGGACCCCTGCGGGCACCCCTAACTTGAAGCCAAATCAGCAGCACAAGGAGAAACAGCCGGTCCACCCTGAACTCCAGCCCCTACCTGTCACCGGGGCCAGCTCAGCCTGGGGTCTCCATGTCCCCCCACCCTCCTACTCTGGCCCAACCGGTGCCACAGGTCTGGGTAGGGGCCTGGAGGGACAGGGTGATGGTGAAACCACGTTCCCAGGAATGGGGGGCCCCCAGACGCCTGCCCCTGCACGTAGCAGGTCCCCCACCCCCATGACGCCCCAGGGGACCAGGAGCCACAACCAGACAGGAAGTAGGTTCTGGACCAGCCAGATTCCTGGGTCTCCTGCCCGCCACCACCCCCCCCCCCACTGCCACTTCCCCTCGACTGGAACTACCCCTTGTCCCCTCAGGCCAAGGGGTCATTGGGAGACCACCCGCCAACCATCATCACACAACCCGTTGGCGGGACGGGCTGGGGAGGGGTAGCGGAGTGGAAGTTTGGGACCCGGGTCTCCTACCCCAACCTGAGACTTTGTCCACAAGGCACTCTGGCCTTCCAGAGAACAGAGGACAGCTCAGGACAAACGTGTCCCCCGGGACCTGGGGCGGGGCGGGTCCCGGTCCCTGCCAGACCTGTCTTAGCCAGATGAGGGGGAGGAAGAGGGTTAACAACGGGATAAGCGTCCCAGCAGGGCCTTTGCAGAACAGAGGCCTTGTCCTGGTCCCCAAGCACACCCTGGGACCTCAGACACACTCTCCCAGCGTCTCCCGGCATGGGGGAGGAGGGCTGCCTCACCCCCAGGAAGAGAACCGGGGCGGGGCAGCCTCTGTGTGCTGGGGCAGAAATCACCGGTGAGCCCTGGGAACAGGAACTAGCACAGAACGGTCCCCATCTGGGCTTTAGGAAGAGCCCCGCCCCCCCCCCCCCCCCCCCCCCCCCCCCCCCCGCATAAGGGAGCCCAGGCCTGAGAGCATGAGAGGGAGGCGCAGGGTGACACAGGTCTGATTGCAGGGACTCCGGGAGGTACGATCCTCTCACGGGGAACTTTGCAGACGCTTCGGGAGGGTGCGAAAATTTCAGGCATTCTCAGTGCTGCCGGCCCCGTGCGGGCTCACGTGCGGGGGCTCACGCGTGGGCGCCGGAGCCCGGGAGGGGCCAGAAGCCGGTCCTGAGACTGCTGCCCATCCCCCACTCACACTCGGCTTTCAAGACTCAACCCAAACATCTCCCCACAGCATTTACCTCTCTTATCACACGGTGTGTCTGGGAAAGGAAGGCAGATAAGGGAGTCTGGTTTCTTTCACAGCCGGCAGGCCTCGACCCAGAACTCCTGGCAGCCGGCCCTGAGGGCCTCCGCCAGCGAGGGGCCCGGGCCTCCAGCCCAGCCGAGGACATTTCCAAGGGCCACGCTCCAGGCCCGGCCCGGCCCGGCCCGGCCTCAGGCTGCCGCCGTACCACAGGCCCCCGCGGGCTCCCTCTGCCTGCGAGGCCACGGCTGCGGCTCTGTGGATGCTTGTGAACAGACCCTGCTGATGTCACCGTTATAAGGAGCCAGTCGGCTCAGAGTTGAGGCGCCCATCCAGCCTGGCCCGATCCCCCTTGGTTTAGATCCTGAGAAACTGAGGTCGACCTTTGAGGAGGTGCTCCGCGGGCCTCGCGGCAAACATGACAAAAGCAGCTCCTGTCTGCTTCCGGGACTTGGGCCTCCTACAGGAAGTCCACCTTGGTTTCTCCCACTCCATGGCCCTGCCCTCTCCCTCCTCCTGGAGCCGCCCTGGCGACTCTTCTGTCTCCTTACCACTTAGCAAGGTCAAGGCTTGTGCACTCAAAAGTGGATTCCACGATCGACTCTTTCCGCACGGAGTTCAGGACCCATTTACACGCTAAGTATGATGCACTTCCAACAGCCCCAAGTTTGAAACAGCAGAAACCAAAAGATTCTCTAAATGTCACCGCTTATTACAGAGGGGCGGTGTAACACCAGGCCCCGCTGGCCTCACCTCGGCTGTAACTGGCCCCTCCCCGCTGTGACACAGACCCGGGGCATGAAACACAGAACCAGCCACCCTGGGTCCCAGCCTGGAGCCCTGACTCCCAGGTCGTGACTGAGCACCCAGTCGTGGGCTGCTAGAGTGGGGACATGCAGATGTCTCCACAGTCCCCTTTGCCACCAGAAACTGGCTGGAGGCCGCCCGTCAGCGCTCCTGAGAGGGGGCTGCAGGAGAAGTGGGGACAACGCTTCTGAAGCCAGCAGAGGGGGTGCTGCCTCGGCGCAGGGGGCTGCACGACCTCTGACCCCCTGGAGACCTTGGCCATCCTCCACCCAAGTGCCCATCTATACCTTTCTGAAGCCCACACCCACTTCCCATTCGTGACTCCACCCCTATCCCATAAAGAGCTGTGGCGTCCCTAACCCCTTCCTCCAAGTGCTGTCCCCTTGACTTCTAGGGGCGGGCTCTCTGGGACCCCCTAGCTGCCCAGCAGCTCCTCCCCGTCCTGCTGCACAATTACCTGAACACCTTACCCACTTCAGGGCTCTGCTGTAGGCTCTGCCCTGATGTCTCCCTGAAGTCCAGCCTTGACTCCTCCTGGCTCGCCAGATCAGGGACTGCACCCGCTCTGGGACAGCTTGGCCTGGATGTCCCGCGGCCCCTCACACTGGACAGGACCCAGACAGATCCCGGCATCCTCCCCCACCCACCCCGATCTGTGACCCAATAGCTCCCCAGGCACGGCTCCTGTCTGTGCCTCCCTGCCGACTCCCCCTTGAAGATCGTCTCCTCTCCTTGGACCATCCCACTCAACCCACCCCGTCTCCAGCCACCCTCCAACCCGTCATCCATCCTTGCCGGACCTTGCAGAACAAGGAGAACCTTGTCCCTCCCTGCCCAGTGCCCCTCACCCACCACCCCCGTGATACGCAAGATGACTAAGTCACCTGAGGTGAGAACGGCCAATTCCCACCGAGACAGCTGGATGACGGGAAAGCCTCCTGTCACACATGCATGAGCACGCACGTGCGTACCTGCGGTCACACACATATGACTGGGACGTTATGTCTCTGGACACTTGGGAAGCTGCTTCCGTGAGCAGACAAGTAGCAAACGTGTGTTAAAACCCAACTTCAGAAACAGCCGATGACACAGTTGATTAGGCACGTGTGGGCTCACCGCACCGTGATTTTATACCATGGATGTGTAGTATGTTGTGCTCATGGCACAGAATTAAGTGTCTCCACATTTCCAGACCCTTCACACGGAGCACCGGACACCAGGGACAGAGCCCAGCTCCCTTAGCCAGCTCCCAGAGGGCCTTCACAATTCAGCCCTCCCCTCTCAGTCCCACCAGCCCCCCTCTCCACCCCCCCCACCCCCGAAAGCGTCGCCAAGCCTGCACGTGCACAGTCCCCATCGCACCCGCACCTGCAGCAGCAGCTACAGCCAGCCCTGGGCTTCCGGCACAGAAGCCTTCCCGGGACACCCACCTGGAAGGGACCGGGGCCCAACATCCGGTCCAGCTGCCTGCACTGTTGGCACTGCTCTGTCTGGGGCCACCTCCCACCCGGCTGGGACCTCCAGGGGCTGATGGGATTCCCCCTCCTCCTGGCCCCCGAGGTGCAGCCCAGCCCACACAGGAGATCTGCACGGATGACGGATGGAACCAAGGAGGGGGAGCAGGTGCAAAGCGCTCAGACCCGGACCCTGGAAACCGCACCCCAGAGCACATGCCTGAGCAGAGTGGAAAATCCCACCTAAGGCCACCGCGCACACCATGGAAACATTCTAACCTGCCTCTCCAGGAGGCCCCATGCTGGGCGTGCTGGTCCACACCGGCCTCCACCCCACCCCCACGCGGGTCACTGACCCCAGGAAGCTGGAGACTGCTCCAGGCTGGTTTCCCATCTGTCTTTACCCCCTGCGAGTTCCCAAACGCTGCCGCCCCGACCACACTGCGTCCTCCTGGCCTCCCCCTCACATGCGCACACACACACACACACACACACACACACACACACACACACACACCCCCCACACGGGCCTGAGTTCTCAGTCTGGGTTAATTAATAACGAGAGCCGTCAGGCCTCAGTGAAGCGGCGACGCAGCGGGCGCATGAATGGAGGTGGGGGAGCCGGGGGCTGCCGGCGAGGCCCAGGCGGTGTTGAACCGGTGAGGGGCCGAACCTCAGCGCCCGAACCCTCAGCGTCATGGGACAAAGGGGAGAGGGAGTCAGGACTCGGGGCAGACAGGGCCTGGCTCCCAAGAAAGGAGGGGGCCGGGAGCCGGAGACAGGTGCAGCGGGCAGGCTTCTAGGGCCCTCTCCCACCCCGGAGTGAGTCCCCGCGCGGCCGGCAGAGGCCCTGCCCCCAGCCCAGCACCCCCGCGTCCGCGCCCCCCGCCCCGAGGCTCACCTGGCCGCGGCCGGACAGCGAGAAGGTGGCGTGGCTGGCGAAGCGCGCGGTGCCCAGGCGGGGCGCGCGGCTGGGGACGCCGGGCGCGGGCG